ACGTTCCCCTGACTAGAGATTTTAACCAGGGTGGCATGAAACGTAAGGAAGAATGAAAGATTGGAAATTCGAGTGAAATATTTCATGAAATTTTACAAGGCTATGAAATGTATCATTTTTTTTAGGGGCTAGAGTAAGCAACCCGCACTCAAACACACAATAGAAGAGGAAAGTCACAATTTTTACATTTTGCGAAACATGAAAAGGAATCTGTATTTTTCAATAGCTTTCATGAATTTCCTAAACTTCATGAAATATTTCACGTGAAATTTCAAGATTTTATTCTTCATGAAATTTCAACCCTATTTTAACCCCTGATTTTAACCCTAAGGAATGGTATTGTTTGGCCTTAACAGCGGTTTTTTCGGGTTTTCAAAAATTGCCATTTTTTCTGATGCAAGATTTTGCAAATTTTTATCAGTGTTTTCTTTTTTGGAAAAATGATCACCACAATTTTGAAATTACGAAAGATATACCATAGATTTATGTCTCCCAACATCTGAGACCCAAAATTGATGAATGCCACAGAGGGTTAACATGTTTGTGAAGACTGACAATCGCAAGATGACATGTTGAGTAAATAAAAAGGTGAAGAATGTTAACCCTACTGAGGGCCCTCAATCAGACGACCCTCCAAAAATTGGAAATAAATTAATTGAATAATCATAATTTCCCAAACGGAGACTGTAATGAAATGTCGAAACCTTCCCGAATTTTCGACTTTTTGGTCCTGCAAGCGTCCGTCAGTCCTCGACAACATCGCCGATCGAGGAAAGTCGCCATTTTCAACCCCTGAAAAAAATCCTTCAAAATTTATTTCCAGAAGCCCGAGGAGCCCATCACAATCAACGGAATAAGGGATCACTCCCTCGTGCCATAAGGAAAACGGGAAGAAAACTTCCAAATTTACGAGGCCTCCCTTTTTTCGCGAGGGTTTTGACCCTGGCCCGGAGTGTAAGACCGAAAAATCGTCCCGCGACGCCGGATTTCGCGTTTTATCTGGTTTTATCACACCGACGAGGACCGCGGAGCTTTCGGACGGCGGAACAGCGGCAACGATGGTCCGTTTCCCGCTGCCCTGCGCACTGGCCGCCGGTTCATTCCCAGTCGGAGCAGAGCCGCTGGCGGGCGTTCGATCCCGGAGTCCACTCAGTCGCGCGCCTCATCTCCGCTCGTCCCTCGCGTCCCAGTTCGGTCGAAAGTTGTGCTTTCGGTCAAGTTCGATCCCGCTGGTCTCAAGTGGAACGAGTTTTAACCGCCTCTCGGTGAGTCTGTTTGTTCGGTTGTGGTTTTGTCGCTCCCGTGGATGTAGGCATTTTCTTTATTTTTTCTAATTCGTGATTTTTTCTATTTTTTCGTCGACTTTGACTTGAATTTTTTGACGATCCGACCCGCCGCACAGTTGCTCTAGTCAATTAGAGCGGTCGGATATGCAATTTGTGACTAGAACTGGAACTTTTGACGTTTATTTCGTCACATTTTAAAATTCAAGGGGTTCTGCTGGTAGCATATTTTACGAGGAAACCAACGGGACCACTTTTAGAACCTCAAAGTTTTGTATAAACGGAGTTTTAAGCGTTTAAAGTTTCTAAATGTTGTCCGACCTCTTCTGTGGACTCGACCCGCTGTGCGCCGTGGCGTATCTGTCAGGAGACTATAACTATCAGGATTAGAACGTTTTGAAGAGGGGAAAAACTCATTATGATGGGTTCATCAGTTTGTAGCTGTCAATTTCTTTTTAGGTCATCGAGCGTCCCCCCCCCTTTCCTTTCAGGAAAATATGGGTTTCGGAAATAGAATCTAATTAAATAGGGAATAAAATAATTTGGTTTTTTTTTTCATTCGTTTACAAATGTGTGTAAGAAGGAGCCCATTCTAAAATTATATTCAAGAAATTTGTCAATTTTGGCTTTGCTTAATGGCACATTACGATTGGATTTCTTACCCTGAAACCTAAGCGTAATGGTCTTCGAAATTGTGAAATCGGGAACACTTGCGCTAATTCAGACAGATGTTTCTATCACTGAGCGTATCCGACTAATTCCATCTAATCCTCCTGAAAATGTTCAGGAACCTTTGATTCAGTAGCGAAGACTTCAGTGCTATAGATACTCATGAATTATTATTTTTTTCACGCCCTTTCTTTCGACACTCGCGCCGCACCATTTGCCTCATTTCACTTCAACAATCGCGATATTATTGTCTCATTTCACCGCAACATTTGCACTATTATTGTCTCATTCCACCCTAACATTTGCAATATTATTGCCTCATTTCACCCCAACATTCGCAATATTATTGCCTCATTTCACCCCAACATTCGCAATATTATTGCCTCATTTCACCCCAAAATTCGCAATATTAATGCCTCATTTCACCCCAAAATTCGCAACATAATTGCCTCATCTCACCCCTAAATTCGCAACATTACACAATTAAATTTATAAAATGCGTCTATTATGGCAACGCTGTACGCTACGATTTCGCGCGCCTTCACCGAAGCGCATCCCGAGCCGTGAATCGCGGGGGCCAGCGATGCGGGGGTGCCCCCGCCTCCCCGCGCCCCCCGCGGCGCGGCGTGTCACTGACCTTTCGCAACACGGCGTCGGCGGCGTCTGGAGTGCGTGCGCAGCCGGGCGTCGGGGCGCCGCACGCACGACGTCACGCCCACGCCTTACTACCGTCAACAAACGGGGGTGGCTGTCACGCTCCCGGGGGATGCAACGTCCCGCCGACGTCACCGGGAATCTCCGTCGGCGGTGTCGGATATTGGATTTTGAGGTCACGAGGGAGGGGGTTCTATTTCCAGGTTCCGGAAGTTTTTCGCTTCCGAGTTCCTTCGGGACCCTGAAAATAGCCCCGGGATCCCTGCCGTGCCAAGGAAAAACGCCGTATGCAGGGTGTCTAGCATCAGGGAAAACCGGAAAATATCAGGAATTTTGGCCGATCAGGACAAAATCAGGAAAGTATCAGGAAAATCGGACGTTTTATCAGGAATTGTTCTTTCGCGAATCTCCTCAGCGGAGAAAGTCTTACTGCTTTTTGCCTACCGCACCAGGAGTCGAGAAAAATCAGGAAAATATCGGGAATTTTCAAAATGAAAAAAAAGCAGGAATTTTTTGTAAAATATTAGGAAAAATCAGGAAAATATCAGGATTTTTCAAAATTAAAAAATACTAGACACCCTGGGATGAACCTTCAGGCTTTGCCAAATTTCCTTTGATAACACACGAATTTCCTGGTAAACTCGTGGATGTTTCTCTTCCAATTTTTCAGACAATTTTGTTCCCTATTTCGACTGAAGTGCCTGAAAATGTCAAGGAAAAATATTCCTAACTTTGCCAGGAGTTGTCGCGCCGTTTGTGTTGAAAAATCAGGAAAATATCAGGAATTTTTAAAATGAAAAAATCAGGATTTTCTTTAAAATATCAGGATTTTTCAAAATTAAAAAATACTAGACACCCTGTCTAACAATTTTCCCAGGAAATTAGGGGTTTACTGAAAGACACATGGCAACGTCTGAAGGTTCATACGGCGTTCTTCCATAGTACGAACGTGCAATCTTCAGATTTCGGGTTAATGATTCCAGGAAATCTTTTCGCCCACGGATGATTCTGTGAGAGCGTAAAGGAGGTGGCAAATTGGTGATCGGGTTTCTAGTTTGGCTTTTGAGTCGAGGACGAAAAAATTGTGTGTTATCCAGGTTGGCGAATCCAGCAAATTGGTTTTCTCCATTTAAACCTGTGGAAATATATCGATTCTGGGAGGGACCTAGTTCTCTGACAAGAATCGATTATTTAGCACAGGTTTTAATGGAGAGAATCCGGTGTTGCCATATTGCTGGATCCGCCCCTGGAAGTTACTACAACTTTTTGAGCTTCATTCGCGCGAATGAGGGTCGAAGCGCGACTTGTGCCCTCTCGAGGGGCTTCCCGGGAGGGATCTACGCCACCACCCTCCCACGACCCCATTCAGGGATCAAACCGTGGGTGTCCTACGTATATTTTCCCTCGTTCGCCCGATCCCCAAGGACCGAAGTTTCTTTTTTCGACCGAAGTCGCTCCTTTTTTTTCTTACAGGATCACGTGGCCGGCATCACACGTGCGCCAACACAAAATCCTCTGTTTGTCTGATTGATATAAATTCAATTTTTAAGTCCAGGACGAGAATTTTCGTTGATTTAACGGGGAATCTTCTTGTTTCAAACAGTGCACTGGGAAAAAACACATTGGATCTAGAGTCCAGACTTTTGACAATATTGACAAGAAAAAGGACTCTTGATTCAATCAGATTTAAGCTTAAATCAAGAACCAAGCCTCTTAATTTGAGCGGATTTCCTTTTGATTTAAGCTTAAATCTGATAGAATCAAGAGTCCTTTTTCTTGTCAATGTTTTCAAGAGTCTGGACTCTAGATCCAATGTGTTTTTTTTTCCACTGTGGCGTGGCGTGCTTTGCGATCTATCGATTGATCTGACGTTTAAACCTATGGAAAAGGATCAAGAAGCAGGGTGTTTGCAACGAACGCCTTAATAATCGATTCTTTACCATAGCTTCAAATGGGGAGATATCGACAACCGATAATTCACGCCTCACCACTGGACGAGATCCTTTAAGATTTAATCTCTGATTGTAAGCTGGAGACTTGTTCTGCCGTACCAAGGAAAACTCCGTATGAAAATTTGAGTGTTGCCAAATTTCCTTCGACAAAATGTTTATTTTCAAGGAAAGTTATGAATATTTTTCCTTGAAATTTTCAGGAACGTTAGGTAAAATTGTGTAAAAAATTATCTGGAAAATCGAAAGAAAAATATTCACAAATTTTCCCGAAAATTCGTGGTTTATCGAAGAAAATTTGGCAACGCCTGGAGGTTCATGCGGCGTTTTTCCCCAGCACGGCAGCGTAGCTTAATCGTTGGGCTAGAAAATGCAAGGAATTTTTGGATTTTTTCGTTGCTCCCGAAAGACTGACTAACGTTCCGTTATTTTTTTTGTGTTGCAGTGTCAGCCATGTCTTTGACGAGCCTTCACCCCAGCAGCTCCCTGTCCGACAGGAGCCAAAGCTACAACAGTATTTGCTCCCTGGACGAGCTCAACGGCTACTGCAACCCTGCCGACCATGTGCTCTCTATCGAGGAACTCCGGCTTCAGCTCAACTCTTGCTTCACGTAAGTCCCATCTTCAGCACGTAACCATCTGCCGTGCTAAGGAAAAACACCGTATAAACCTTCAGGCGTTGCCAAATTCCCTTGGATGAAACACAAATTTCCTGGTAAACTTATGAATATTTTCCCTCCGATTTTTTAGATAATTTAGTTCATAATGTCACCTGAAGTTCCTGAAAAGTTCAAGGAAAAAATATTCATAACTTTCCTCAAACATAGAAATTTTATCGAAGGAAATTTGGTAACTCTCGAATATTCATACGGCATACAGCACGGGTGTACTTTCGAATGGAGCTTCTGCAGGGTGTCTACCATCAGTAGAAACCAGAAATGTGGAAAGTATCATGAAAGGAGAGGTTCTGGCCATTTCCCCTTCAAAATTAGATGATACAATTACTGTGAGTCAGGACCACGGGAAATTGCATACTCTGCGGTTTTAAGGAGTTACTCTCATGGAATGAATCATGCAATTGACTGCATTTTGCATTTTATGAGAGTAACTCCTTAAAACTCGCAGAGTATGCAATTTAACGTAATCCTAGCTAACTCACCGTAATTGTATCATTCAATTTTGAAGGGGAGTTAAACAGACGCGAAGGAGGCATTTGATAGGTACCAGGTATTTGACAGAGACAACCATACCATACCATTGCTGAATCCATTGCCACACGTCTAATCAGGACGGATGAATAACGATACATATCCAGTTCACAAGGGTAAAAAAGAATTTCAAAGGTTACGAAATTTCTGATTACTTATGATCTCAGGAAATATAGGAACCAGTATTCTGCTGTGCTAAGGAAAAACGCTGTACAAACCTTTAGGCGTTGACAAATTTCCTTTGATAAAATGCGGATTTATTTTGAAAGTTGTAAATCTTTTTCTTCCAGAATTTTCAGACCATTTTGTTCGTAATTTAATTTAAAATACCTTTCACTTTTGACGGACAAAATGGTGTGGTAACGGAATGTGGTGTATGGGACATCACTTTTTTAAACAATTTCTCGTTTCATCATAGATTAATCAAAATTTTCTCTTTGTCACAGATGTGGAGTGAGCTGGGTTGATGATCATGTATCACTAGACTGTTCTGAATGTGGTGGATACTCGCTGGAGCGACCTTGCCCTCTGTGCAGTGGAAGATGCTCATCAGTTTGGAAGAGAGATCTTACCATGGTACGTCACTAAAATCTCAAGTACACTAATTTGCGAATTCAGCACAAGTTTTCCTTTTTTAGTTGATTGTCACGAATGAAAAGAGAAAAAATTTAAATTTTGCAAACATCATTTCTCTTGAATTGTAGAAAAGTTTAAGAGTTCATTCGCTAATACTTGAAAATTTTTCTTTGTGGGATGAAAGTAGTTACATCGCAAGGTACTAATCCTAACTCTTCTTATTTTGTCCCTAAAAATGATTTTAAAATTTGCAACTTTCCTCAGCAAGAGCGTGCACATTTAATTTACGCTAATTGTCATCATGAAAACTGGTTTCTTGTGCAATCAACTCCCTGTCAGGTGGACAGGCTGGTTTACTGGCCAGCGTGAAGAGAAGTTGTTGAATCGTAGATTTGAAAACTACTACGCCTATCACTAATGTAACTTCAAGTTTGACTCAAAGGTCAATTTGAAGGTTAATGATTGATCAAAGATCCAACTAGGCCAGCTAGTTAAAATTAAAATGATAAGACGTCTCGCCAGTTTCTATTTAGACGTAGATATTATAAGCAGTAAAATTAGAAATATTATTAAATATCTAAAGCAATGAGGAAAACACATGATGAAAATGGTCGGTTTAGTATAAACTTAGGTATCAAATGCCTTCAGTTGAATCGGTCACTCTTCAAAAGACGTAAGTGCCATTGTTAACAAACAGGAACAAAACAAAAATCCTTTAAATCGATCCATTTTAAATCTCGTAGCTCAAAAATATGAAAGCATTCTATTAATTAATCACATTATTACTTAATCTAAGGTTCAAAGTGGGTCGATTAATACAGTTTTTACTTGCATTTTCATTTCTGACGCTTAAGTCTTTTTGAGAATGATTAATTCAATTGGACGTATTTCTATCAAACGGAACTATGCGCATCAAGACATGAGCCCTGAGACCCATAAGAATATGTGCATAACAGGGCTCACGTTATAGTGCACATAGTTCCGTTTGATAGAAATACGTCCAATTGGAAGAGGCTCAATATTTGATAAGTTAGCTTCAAATTTCAGGGATTAATTTGAGCGTCAGTGAGGCTATCACAAGTATATTATAATAATTAACATAGTTGGGAAGTCCAATATATTTAGAAAACAATCAGCGCTCTAGGGTTTATTTTTTACAACTAAAAATTCTTAAAAGTTTTTTTCATTAAAGATTGTTGTTTCCTACTGTTATCTCTTTTTCAATAGTGAATATGAATCGTTCTGACGTTTTTTAATTCTTTGATGTGCATACTTGTAGACCTCAAAATTCCCTCTGAATACGAGATTCGCTTGCAATTTTTTTAATCCAATCTGTTGAAAGAATTCACTCCAAGAAGGACACCCAGAGCATTCCAATGTTGCCAGGATTGTACAACTTACATTCTTTCCAAAAACATTACTGAAATCATGCAAAAAATTAAATTTACAAAGATAATTTTCGTCTTAAATTGGACGTATTTCTATCAAACGGAACTATGTGCATTCAGACATGAGCCCTGAGACCCATAAAGATACATGCATGACAGAGCTCACGTCATAATGCACATAGTTCCGTTTGATAGAAATACGTCCAATTCATAGTTGATTAGGAGTGAAGATAAAACCTGTTTCGATGGTCAGTATATATTTTTAAGGTGAAAAAAGTTGCAAAATCTTAGCAGCATTGGAACGCTCTTGATTCCTTTTTGCAAAATGCCATCCAAATGATGAAGAAACAAAATGCTATCCTCATCATTGCACTCTTCCTACAGTACTGAATCCATATTATTTTTTTCTTAATATTGTCTAGGAAGGAGATAATGACCATACTGAAAGAGGTTTCAATTGAAACGTAATATGCTCATCATCGTTTATTTTTTTTTTGTTACAGTCACATGCAAGTGGGCGCGCCAAGTGGGAAGGCAAGTGTAACCTGCAGGCAGAAAAAGCATCCGACTCACAATTAGTCCTTAAACCTGTGGCTCTCACCACCTCGAGTTCAGACTCCAACCTTTGCAGCCGGTTCGAGAAGTTGAGCGCAAGTTCGTGAGGTTCCACTGCAACCAAACGCAAAGAGCTCAAGTCTTCCTCCTCTTCGTAACGGTAGCCGCAGCGCAAAATCGAAGGCTGAAATCGCCCAACGGTTCAGTTCCTGGCACTGTGACGATACGAAAGGATCAAGGAAGGAATTTTGTGATTAGGAATCGAATACGTATCAAGTGCAATCACTTTTTGTTTCCACTAGTTTCTAATCTGTGTATTTTGTAATTATTTTTTGTTCTCGAGTCAGCAGGGTGGTTTTTTCTGTTGCATTCGTACACCCGATGGATGTCGGAAACCCATCAAAAATGTCTCTGGAAGGCATTAGTGTCGTCATTACTATTCATTTTATTCATCAAAACAGCACGGAACTTTCTGCTCTTGATAGTTTTAGTCCAAGCAGTCTTAATGATATTAGGACTAATCATATAATTTTGGTGTAACAGACAAAAAACCTTTCTGCTAATTGAGTTGTTTCCAAGAATTTTACCGTCCTTACTAGTGCTGCCACAGTTAGGAAATTTTCTAGGCTCTTTTTATTAGTTTCTCTAGTGAATAGCTTCACTAAATTCCATCAAGATTTGTGTTGCAAATTGATGTCTGAACTTTGAGAGCACATGTCTCAACTATTGATGTTGCAAATTTTCAAATGTAAAATTGGGTTCTTTTCATGAGGAAAAAAATAATCCAAGAGTGTAAATTTTGAAATATGTGTTCTGAGAGTTCAGCCGTTGATATGAGCTGCAGCACTTGAAAAAAAGTTAAAATGCAGACAGAGAGAAAACTGCACTCTCCAGTCCAACCCAATGAGGTCAAATTTTTTAGCGCTGATATGCTGCAGCCTCCAGGTCAAATTCATCATTCAATGAGCTTACAAATTAGCGATACATTAGTACAATTATTGAAACTTGTAAACTTTAGTAAAATTTGTAATTACAGTCTCTACGCAATTTTGAATGGGTGAAACTCTTTGATAGAGAATTTTTCATTGTTGATTAGCATAATACATTCCTCCCAGATCGGAAGATGTAACAAATAAAAATTAGAAAATCCAATTGGTGGAATCTCCTCCTTTGTGTAAATTTTTATCCTCATCTGTGATTGCATTTTTGGTACATGCTCAACTCTTTAAACATTTTGGAAACTTTCTCAAAATTTTGGTTGCAACCGAACCTCAGTCGGTTCCTAAATTTTAGGGTCTGAATTCTTTGGCAAGCGCTCGCTTTTAGAGAATCGTGGTGAATTTCAAGCTGAGTTTGTAAATTTGAACCAAAGTATTAGAGCCAACTTTGCATGAAAGAATTTACCTGTGATCCCTCAGAATTTTGGTATTATGCTATGGTGAATTGTAGCACATGTCACTGGAAGTATGCATTTATCTCCGAGATCAACTAACTAAAAATGGCAACTTGTTTGCATTTTTGCACTGTTAGTATTATCTCTTGTTAATTGCCTCTAGTGTCATTTACGTTTTACAATTAGCACCAAAATTCTAGTTGTTTTCCTCTTTCATGAAAGCTGCCTCACTAATCGTTGCTCCTCTATGTAGGGGCGTATCTCAATTTCCATGCAAGCCCTGTAGTCCATGTAACTTCATGCTTTTCGGGGCTCACGTTAAGATATAGATATGCTTTTACATCAGAGGAACCATGTAGTATTCGGATGAGAAAAGTTGTGGCACTAGCAGTCTGTATGGAGTGGGAAGCTGCCAGTCACCCACTAGAATTTTGTAATATTCAAACAGCTTTAGACGTAAGGTCCAAAAATTTTGGATTATCTTTGCTGCTATACCTTTTCTCTAGTAAGTTGCGCAACTCATGTTCATAGTTTTTCTCTATTTTTCCCAACCACTCCAACAGACTTGTAAGAGAAAAAATGATAATGCCCTCAACTTTTCAAGATTTTCCGCCTAAATTTTCAACGAGTTAGTTTTGATGAAAGGAGTGCCATTCAAACTTCATAGCCTATCCAAGATTTTGGTGAAAATCATGAAAAATTTGTTCCTAAATAAGATCTGCGTAACTGCAGCCGAAGATTCTATATATGTTATCCTCTCCGACTATCTATTCTCTGAACATAATAATGCAAAGTAAGTGTTGCACAATTGCACCTTTCAATCGTTGTTAAAATGCATTTTTACCTGTAAATTATCATTTTCATTCAGTGATTAATTTTTTTTTCTGAATTTTTAAAAGTGCGTTCCAAGCACCTTCCTCCATTTTCCTTTTTTTTAAAGAGACCTAGAGTTTTATCCGTCAATGTGCTGGATGTTTTTCGGAGCAGCATTTTTCCCCCTCGCAGAGATGCTTTTAATTATTTTCTTTCCCCCATTTTTTCCCTAATTACTTCTATGTCTAATTTTCTGGCTGCTAAGTTACTGCATTCCAACTGTCAGTTGTCGTAAGTTTTGTATATTCATGCAGTAAAGAGTTATAATCTATTCCGCAGGAAACACACTATGTATCCGTACTTTTTATATTATTTATTTTCAATATTTATTTTGTAATATGACGATTGTGTCAAAAGGCTCAGCCTTTCTCTTTATTTCTTATTTCTTGTACGCTATTCAAACTGTTCGTTCTCTCCGCCAAATTTCTGCCTCTCACAAAAGAAAATCCTTAAACGCTGTTTCAAAGGCTCCTATGTATCATCTGTAAATAGTGTATAGGTATTCTCCCTCTTTAGATGTAAGGTTTTATTTACAGTAAAGAACCGAAAATTTCATTCTGAATGTCATTATAAATGAGGAAAGTGTATAAATTGTATCATCAACTAGAATCTGTCTTTCTTGCCGAAATGAAAGACGCATGTGAGTAACTACACTTAAAAAGTGCTGTGTCTCAGCTAAGATCTTTCTGTTTGATTACCTTATATAAATATCTGTCAATGAATTCTTCAAACGTTTTATTTATCATTTTTTCTTTGCAGATTTAAAATATTGCCCTCAAAATCAGTCAATGAAAAGTCCTTGATTTACCAAATCCCAGCAAAGAAAATTGTCAATGCTGAGCATTCCTCAATGTGTCTCCTCATATTTTTCTGTCATTATATTTCAAATCTGCTTTTCATGCTTTTGTTTCTTTACAATTTATTTTTGTCATTTTCTATATTGAAGCGGAATATGTTCTTTTCTCTCTTTTTTATTAAACCATCCTAGCAAAAAAAAAAACATTGTTTTTATTTTTTGACATTAAATACTTCAAGGAAGTGAACCCTTCAGGACTATTGCTCCTTCACTGAATAAGTATTTAAAGCATTTTTTGCCAAGACAAAACCAAAATTGCTTTCAAGGAGAAATATTTCATGCAGTTAGGCACATACTTTGCTGTACTTTCCATACTTTGCCGAGACATTGTTTCAAATGTTGTGATCAGACCATGATGAGTATAGTCATTTTACGCAATTACTCAACCATTTTATTGTTTCTGCTTACCCCAAGCAGACAAGCAAGGTTCAAGAAAATATTTTAGACGTGCAGAAGTATATAAATTCTTTAATGCAAAATTTCTTAAATTAAAACAATCTGTCTCTCTTCATTGGCATATCAAAAGAATATTGAGTGATGCGAAAAATTAAGAGAGATATTGCAGAAAATGAATGATTCTGTGAATTTTATCGTTCAAAAGTTAAAATGTTCCTTACCGGTTGATCCTTAAATTTGAATGTGGCATTGCCTTAAAAATCACAATTTTTAATTTTAGGAAAAAGAAAAAATTATTCCAATCTGCCCCAACCGAAAAGGCGCAGAAAGGTTGGAATGGCTTCTACTTTTTTGTATAATTGTGATATTGAAAATATAGAAAAATTGAAAATTTAATTAAATTTGAATACAGAGACGCAAAATTGAATCTCTGGAAACTACCTTAGGCAAGAACCATAGGTAAACTCGATAATCACCCCGAGTTAGGTTCATGGACTCCATTTTCGAGGTCAAATTCGAAGAACTTCCGATCACGCTGAAACGAAGCTGATCCCGTATAAAGTGGCCTGCCGAGTCCAATTTTTGGGTCTAAAAAATTCCACGAGTTCACTTGAGCACACAACTTTAGGATTAAACGGGTCTGGACCGGAAATGGATCCTGGAAAACGGTTTCAGAGCCCTCAAAATGACTTATTATTTAAATTAAACCAAGACAAAAAATGAAAGCTACCCAAATGGAAAACCCGAAGTTGTAGTATAGTTAAAGAGTCTCGCGCTCTTTATGCTCCTTTGATGATGATGATGATGATGATGATGATGATGATGATGATGATGAGCTGATGATGATGATGATGAGATTTTATACTAGAAAATCGGATCTAGCTACTGATTTTACGCCCCGTAAATTCGACGAAGTTATATATAAATATATAGACGAATATTGACGAAGCTAATCCCCGATTAGCTTCGTTTCAGCCCAATTGGAAAACTTTCAATTTTGACCCTGAAAATTAGGTCCATTTAAACCCCGGGTCAATTTTTCTCGATTTCTGATAAAAAATAATCTCGAGATAACACACTAAACCCTCGTACATCGTACGTTGGAGACGTAGAATTGATTGCCGCTCTGCCATGCTAAGGAAGAACGCCGTATGAACATTCGAAAGTTGCCAAATTTCCTTCGATAAAATGTTCATTTTTGAGGAAATTATGAATATCTTTCCTTGAAATTTTCAGAAGTTTTACATCAAATCCCAAACAAAATTGTTCGAAAAATTGGTAGCCAAATATTCAAAAATTTTCCTGAAAACTAATGATTTGTTAGGAGAAATTTGGCAACGCCTAAAGGTTCATACGGCGTTCTTCCTTAGCACGGCAGCGTTGCTCCCCAGACTCGGATCCGGTCCCTTATTCGCCAGTTCTGAGCTCCAGTGAATGTGGAGCATTTTAGATCCGAAAGTCAGACTCAGTAGGTCATTTAGCAGGGGACCATTTTCGTTTCAGCCTGATAAAAATTTTGCAATTTCGCCCCGAAAATTTAGTTCATATGTCAATGCTGATTTTTCTCCATTTTGGACTGGAAAAAAATTTCGAGGTCAGAGTCGACTCCTATGTACTTCGAGGCATAGAATCGATTGCGCACAGTTCACTTCCAGGGCTCGGCAAGGCCTCCTGAACCGAGATACGGTCAAAAACGAGTGTTTTTGGCCATTTCACGCATGCTCGAATATCCGCGATTTTTCGAGATTGTCAGGACGGTTCGACCAGTGGAGCATTTGGGACCAAAAATTCAGACTCCTCAACTCATTTTACAGGGGACTCACCTCATTGCAGCCCAATTGGAGAACTTTCGATTTCGACCCCAAAATGTTAGTCCACGTAACCCCTGTCGATTTTTCTCGATTTTCAATGCAAAAAAAAATTCCAAGATGAGTGTCGAATCCTATGTACTTTGAGGCGTAAAATCGATTGCGCATGGTCCCGAGGCTTTCTGAAGCGAGACACGGTCAAAAACAAGTGTTTTTGGTCATCTCGAGCATGCTCGAATATCCGCGATTTTTCGCGATTGTCGGGACGGGCCGATTCGTTGAGCATTTTGGACCGCAAATTCGGACTTCTCGACTCATTTTACAAAGGATCCCCTTCATTTCAGTCAGATCGTAGAACTTCCGATTTTGACCCTAGAATTTTAGTCCATGTAACCCCTGTCGATTTTTCTCGATTTTGGACGGGGAAAAAATTCCGAGATTAGCGTCGAATCCAACGTAGTTCTAGGCGTAGAATCGATTGCGTATGGTCCCGAGGCATCCAGAACCGAGACATGGTCAAAAACGAGTGTTTTTGGCCATCTTGAGCATGCTCGAATATCCGCGATTAATCGCGAGTCTCAGGACGGGCCGACTCGTGAAGCAATTTGCACCGTAAATTCGGACTCCTCGACTGATTATGAGAGAAGTCATTGAATAGTAGACTCCACTTTCCATCCAAAACGGTCGAGCCCGTCCTAACAATCGCAAAAAATCGCGGATATTCGAGCATGCTCGAAATGGCCAAAGACACTCGTTCTTGACCGTATCTCGGTTCAGGAAGGCGCAATCGATTTCACGCCTTGAAGTACATAGGATTCGATACTAATCTCGATTTTTTTTTCATCAAAAATGCTCTTGACCGTTTTCCAGGATCCATTTTCGATCCTGTCCCGTCTAATCCGCCGATTGTGAGCTCAAATGAACTTGTGGAACATTCTCGACCCAAAAATTGGGCTCGGCGGGTATTTAAAGGGGATCAGATTCGTTTCAGCCTGATCCGAGGGTCTTCGGATTTGACCTCGAAAATGGAGTCTATGGTTCAAGGACTTCTCTCATATTCAGTCAAGGAGTCCGAATTTCCGGTCAAAAATGCTCCACGTGTCGACCAGTCCTGACAATCACGAAAAATCGCGGATATTCGAGCATGCTCGAAATGGCCAAAAACACTCACTTTTGACCGTGGCTCGGTTCCGGAAGCATTGGGACCATTCGCAATCGATTCTACGCCTCAAAGTACATAGGATTCGACACTCATCTCGAAATTTTTTTTCCATCGAAAATCGAGAAAAATCGACAGGGGTTACATGGACTAAAATTCTACGGTCGAAATCGGAAGTTCTACGATCTGACTGAAATGAAGTGGATCCCTTGTAAATGAGTCGAGAAGTTCGAATTTGCGGTCAAAAATGCTCCACAAAACGGCCGGTCCTGACAATCGCGAAAATTCGCGGATATTCAAGCGTGCTCGAGATGGCCAAAAACTCTCGTTTTCGACCGTTCTTCAACTCAGGAAGCTATCGCGAGCCTCGGGACCACGCGGAATTGATTCTACGCCTCGAACAACGTAGGATTCGACACTAATCATGGAATTCTTTTTTCATCGAAAATGCTCCATGAGTCGACCAATCCTGACAATCGCGAAAAATCGCGGATATTCGAGCATGCTCGAAATGGCCAATAACACTGTGTCTTGGTTCCGGAAGCCTTGGGACCACGCGCAATCGATTCTACGCCTCAAAGTACACAGGATTCGACACTCATCTCGGAATTTTTTTTTCCATGGAAAATCGAGAAAAATCGACAGGGGTTACATGGACTAAATTTTTAGGGTCAAAATCGAAATTTCTCCGATCGAGCCGAAACCAAGCTAGTCCGCTTGGAAATGATCCGCTGAGTCCGATTTTTTGGTCGGAAAAGCTCCACGAGTCCGCTAGACCGCGTTACCGACGAAAAACGCACTTTTGCAGCAGGGTCAGAAACACTCGTTTTTGACAGTTCCTCGGCTCAGGAGGCCTCGCTGCGCCTCGAAACCATGCGCAATCGATTCAGCGCCTTCAACTACATAGGATACGACTGTAATCTCGAATTTTTTTTTCCCGTCCAAAATCGAGAAAAATGGACAGGGGTTACATGGACTAAATTTTTAGGGTCAAAATCGAAAATTCTCCGATCGGGCCGAAATGAAGTGGGTCCCCTGTAAAATGAGTCGAAGAGTCCGAATTTAAGGTCAAAATTGCTCCACGAGTCGACCCGTCTTGACAATCGCGAAAAATCGCGGATATTCAAACTTGCTCGAAATGGTCAAAAACTCTAGTTTTTGACCGTCTTTGATGATCCAATTCCGGAATGGTCCCGTGTCCTTATTCGTGATTTGCGGGCTTCAGTGAACTCGTGGACCACGTTCTACCCGAAAATCGGACTCAGCGGGTAATTGTACAGGGAACCTGTTCCGTTTCATCCTGATCGGAGTTTTTTCAAATTTGACCCCGAAAATGTAGTACGTTTCACCTCTATCGATTTTTCTTGATTTTCGATTTAAAGGCCTCGATAGACGATCAAATTCCCGAACCAATTCCGATCAAAGTAGCATCAAAGTGTCGGGAGTCATCAGTCTTAAACTCATTAATTTGCTTCATTTTAAAATGAAAACTTGGCAGAAATGTTCCCTGTGGCAGGAAATGATGAATGGCGGCACTCCGTTCTCATCTTACTTTGAACAAAAAAGTGCGGCCCGTCAAAATTTGATGGTAGATGGTGACCACCAGTCATCAGCATGTCTACTTTGATCGGAATTGGTTCCGAATTTGATCGTCTATCGAGGCCTAAAAGGGGAAAAAAAAAATTAAATTGAGATTAGTGTCGAATCCTACGATGCCAATACATATTTGTATTGTATCGTTTGTAATCATGTTCCATAATGAAGAGGAGATTTGATATTTT